CAATGAGGTCCTTTCAGGCTGGAAAGTCCGTTGCCATCAAGGCTTGCTCAACCAAGACCTCACAAGTCTGGCAAATTGCTCGGGATTGTTCATTGAACTGGCTTTTCATATTTGCATGCAGCTTTTGTCAGATGCGTGCATCACTGATATATTACATCATTGATTGGGTCAATTGTGGGGGTGTTGTCTGAGCTGTTGAAAGGTAATCCTGAATCCTTACCTTTGTAGAGGCTTCCCTATAGGGGTTATGGATTCCGATTGGCCAACCCTCCATGTTGAACAGCCCAGCTTGTTGTGCTTTCTGGTTTGAAGCGAGCCAACGAGGGTCCTTCAAAACGGGAGATAAGGAGCTACCAGGACTTTTGTAAGGACATGGTAGTTTGAGATGTTGGGATGATAGGTGCAAGCCATGCCATTGACAGTAGCTACGCGGCAGGCGCAGAGGAGGCAGAAGCCGAGGCTCAGGAGAGGATTCCCTTGATTGAGCAGACTGAACTGATGGGGGCGCAATTTGGCCACTTGCCAAGGAGCTTGAGCCTCAAGAGCCTGAGCCTGAAGAATCTCAAGGTAAGAAGAGACCAAAGAAAAAGCGAAGGCGATGTTCGCCGAATCGCTTCAAGTATGAAGTTAGGATCCAAGGCAATCGACCGATTGGATGCTCATGTCAGTGTGTGTGTGTGTGTGCGCGAGTGTCAGGAGTGCCAAAGCCGCTTAAGCCAGTGCGCGTCTCAGCTGGGCGAGTGTCAACAACAATGTGTAAGCCGTCACGCTTGCACTATGCAAAACATGCAGAGTCGCTTCCATGACAGCCACTTGTCTAGCTGCCACGGTCAGGCGCCTGACAAAATGGATGCTAGGGCAGCCACTAAGTTGTGGACTTAAGAAAACGCCAAAGCCTGGATTTGCCTTCAGGCATTTGTCTAGGACGAGCATAGCTGGTGCGTGCAATCAGGACCCTTGCAGACCGTGGCGACCCAAGAGGGTGCTCCAAAATTGGAGATCCTCTGGCAGCCAGCAGGATGTGAGATCCTGGAGGAGAGACATGGATACACCCACCCACTCCCACATAGACATACACGCACATACACTAATATGTAACAATGTATGTATGTATATATATATATAGTTGACAACTTGGTCATCTTAGCCATGTTAGCGCTTGCCTGCCAAAAGAGAATGACGTCTCACACATTTAGATGCTCATAAGATCTGCCACGTGCGCGCGAAAAAAAAGGTGTTATTCAGTCTGCTTTGTGCAAAGCAGAAGCACGGCGTTGTGGAAGTCCTTGGATGTTCCGATGCTTCAATGGAAGACTAGGTTTGTAAATAGCTCAGACATGCGACTGACTGATGTATGTCAGCCTCGGCAGGCGCAAGCAGAATCTCCAGTGTGGCAGAACAATGAGAGCTTCAAACTCTCCAAGAATAAGGAGGACTGTGATCACATTTATACGAGCTGTCTCTCCCGCTTGGGATGCTTCAGCCTGCTTCAACAGCAAGGCTCTCTTTGACTTTGCAACAGATAGAACCACGTAGCGTCAGGAGTGGAATTCCTCCGACTTGCTGATGGACCTCAACCGCCAAGCACGCAGGCCAATGTACTGTACAGCACGTTGGCCGCGACACAGCATTTTGCCATTTGGGTTGCTTGTCTGAAACTTGTCTTGTGATGGCGGATAGACCTTTTGCGATTTGGGTATGTGCGACAGAGTTCTCATGAGTCATCTCCTTGACCCTTTTGGGCTTTACACATATGCCTTGAGCCCCTGCGAATTGCGGAAAGAAGCGCCCTGTTGCGCTCCATGGGTTCACAGCGAACCGTTTTTTCTCATACCACTGAGGGTTGTTTCCCTGCGCTTACCCCGCTGCACTGGCAGCGGAGCACGAGAAGACGATCCTGAAGGTTCTCGCGCCTCGTGCAATACGGTGGCCACCCGAACTCGCTCATCGCGCCGCAGCCAGGAGGAGTGGAGACATGCCCGTCGGGTCATGCTCTCTTGCTGAGCAAGACCTGCGAGCGCAGCGCCCAGAACATCATGGCACGCCTTCGCAACCCCCGCCCTCGACAACCTCTGCGGCAATTCCAGCGCTGCTGGTGAAGATCTGGCGCAGAGCCAGCCACACGAGGCTCGCATAGGCAAGCATGGTGGCTTCCTGAAGTCGCCCCGCCCGCGCTGGGTCGGACTGGGCCGGGTGCTATGCCAAGAACTTCAGAGCTTCCGCCGGAGCCTCTCGCCGAGCGTGAGCAGGCCTACTATGGCACCCATCACGGCGGCGAACCCTCCAGTGGAAAGCGGCTCGCTCCAAGTCGAGAATGTGTCTTCCCATTCGGCGTCTTCATCCGCACCCGATGGCTGCCAGGGCAAAGGGGGCTCGCTTGATTTATCCAAGGACATGGGTGAGGAAAGGCGATCGCGAAGTAGCTTCGCCAAGGAGGACTCCGACATGGCCCCGCTCCCACAGAAGCTGAGGCGCCGGCTTTTGAACCTGCTGTCGAAGGAGAAAATCCAGGAGGCCACGCGAACTGGAGCGCGAACTGCGTGGTGTGCTTGAAGACCGCGTGAGTCGAATCCCCACGCGCTTTCCACAGTTCCACTACAGCGACCCCTATGGCTGGACCTCAGCGCCAAGTTTTGTGAACTCTTGGCCGTGTGTGGATTTGGGTGGTAAAGAACCTTGCGCCCCTCAACTGAGGGATGTGCGTCGCCTTACTCCTAGCTCAAGACCCACGGCCAGTCCGGCCACGTGCCTTGAGGAGAAGCTTAGTGGTGCTGATGCCAGCCAGTGCACTGAGAACCATCCAGGACTACTCTTTGGGTGCTGCGCTGCGATCTTCACTTTGTAGTCTCTGCCAAGAAGACCAAACTTCAAGGCCCCGTCGTCCTAAGACAAGGCCAACGTCAGAAAGCGCTCTCATTCAGCGTGAGTGTTTCCTTGGCCAAAGGAGTCCAGATTTCTTTTGGGCTTGGCCCCTTTCCGCTTGACACATGGGCCTTGAGCCCCCGTGGAAGAAGCTCCCTTGCTGCGCCCCATGGGTTCGCAGCGACCCTCATCTTCCTCACCTTCCTCACCCCACTGACCGCTTTTTCCCGCTACAGTATGTCTTTTTTGTTGGTGTCACTTTTTTGAGTGTTTTCAATTCTAAGCAAAAGGAAGGCCACCATTTTGGAGGGACCCCTAAAGAAGACACCCACTTCTCTTCGGTTTTTGGAATTGGGACAGATGCCCTCCGCGCCCTTTCGCGCATCTGCCAGTGTTGCCATGGAGTTCTCGCCCTGCGACCCAGCTCCTCTCAGATCCCTCAGATCTTTGAGGCCGGCGTGGGGAAAATGGACTCGGCGCACTAAAAAACAGCAAGCCAAGGTGGCTCGTCCTTCTTTTGATTGATTTTCCTTTTGGCAAACCAAAAAGAAACCATTCATTCTGGGGCCCCCAGTCTTAAGACACCCACATCATGAGCAATCTCAGCTGCCTGAGTGAACTGGGTTTCCTTACAGGTAGTCTTTACGCGGGCCAGAAAGTGAGATCGCGCAACTTGCAGCTCGGCAACGCAGCAACCCAGAAAGAACGAACAGCTTAATCAGCTAGTTGAGTTTTGTTTGGCAACCCTTGTCAAGGGGTGGGGTTATGGCCACCACTTGCCTCGAGGAAGCTTGACTTTGCAATATGGGCAGAACGCCTCGCTGCAGCATCCTGCTCACAGATGTCATCCCCAAGGGATGGTTAATTGCATGCTCGGACCGGCAGGATCGCGTCAAAAAGGAGCATTAATCACGTGGAGATTGCCACATTGTTCAGAGCCAGGGCGGGTTTTAAGACCCTGAGCTTGATTAAGAAGCTCAGAACTCATGCGAATGTCGTGGATTGGCATGTGAATTCTGCCCTTGGAGAATTTCCTTGCTGGGTGCTTCTTGGTGTGGTTAGTAAAAACAAGTCAGAGTGCCGGCACTCGTTTTGCTCCAGCCTGCAATGCCTGAGCCAATCGACCAGCAAGACTTTAAACAGTCCACGTGCTCGGTTCTGCAGATGGGATGTGGACAGCAGATAGACATTGCTTGGTCAGCGATAGAAAAAGCTGCAAATCATAGTGACTTATCAGGCATGTGGCCGTGTGTTTGCAGACTCCCAGAGATGCTTGGGCCAATCTTGCAATCATCCACGTACTCACAAAGACGTCATGAGCACTTTGGTCCAGATATTGCAAGCACGCCGATGTCCTGGTTGCACAGCCACTACATTGCAGTACCCTTGTCTTTTCATGAGAAGCCAAGGCTATCCAAAGGCCGGCAAAGTCCTTGGGCTATTCCTGGCCAGCAGCTCAAGAACTGCAAGCGGCAGCCGCTCCCCAAAAGTTTGCCTTCGCAAACCAGGCTGTAGCTTTCGTCCAGCTCGTGAATGCCCTCTTTAGGCTGTGCATGTGACCTGTGGCAACCGGTTGCTTCGTGACATCAGAACACATGTTACCAGGTTTTGGCAGGTGCCTTTGGTGCCAGAACGTCAGCTCCTGAGCGCTGAAAGGGCTCCAGCGGTCTACATTTCGGGATGGGCTCTAAGGCGCCAGACATCGTGCAAGACAAGGCAGGCTGCAATCCTTGTCTTCCCATGAAGCAACTCATTTGCCCCGTCCAATTGAGGGTTGTGTCGTGGGACTTTCCAGGTGGCAGACCAGCTGCACCTGCACCTTTGCCTGCGCCTGCAGTGCCCCAAGCAGCGCCAGAAGGGTGGGATGCCTCAGTCGACGTAGGGGTAGATTGCAGGATGGTCAGCATGTCTTCTGTCTCGCGGTTGAACCAAATCGCTTCCACTGTGGATAACCCAAATGAACAGCCTGGCCAGGCTTGCTACCGAAGAGGAGCTTGGCCAAGCTTGGCATCAGAACGGATCCAGGAGCAGAGCGCATGCAGAGGTCAAAATGGACCTGGTTTTGATCGGTTGGCTGGCTGGCTGGCTGGCTGGCTGGCTGGCTGGCTGGTTGGTTGGTTGGTTGGTTGGTTGGTTGGTTGGTTGGTTGGTTGGTTGGTTGGTTGGTTGGTTGGTTGGTTGGTTTGTTGGTTGGTTGGTTGGTTGCACTTTCGCAACCGGGCGCACCACGTTTGGAAAATTGAAAGCTCCGCAGCCATTACCTTTGCAATGCAAGACAAATATGTGCATGCAAGGAGATGGCTCTGGCTCAATGATGGCACGGCAGTCAACGGCTGGATAGAGTGGCAGCCTCAGCCTGGTCCAGGACTACCCCGAGGCCTCGCTTGCACCCTGACGTGAGCATTTGACAGATGTTGGGCCAAATATTTGTTCTGTTCTTGTGATGCTTTCGAATGGGTCCCGAAAACACCGTCAGAGATGTCCCATCAATCAACATGGAACCTGACGTTTGGCTGGTCCTGGAAGATCATTTTCCTTTTAAAGGCACCGGGTCCCGAACGTCGAAGGGTTCCACGTTGATTGGTTAAGCAAAGCGCTTCGAGTCTTCGAGTCTTCGAGTCTTCGAGTCTTCGAGGCTCGGGCGAGCTGGAGCCCTCCGTCATTCCTTCAACTCCGACGCGGGGACGGGGCGCTGGTCCTTGGAAGCTGACCGGCCGGGGGCCTGGCTGGGGCGGCGGCTCGGTTTCAGCGGGACGCGCATCCAGAATGTATGGCCAGGGTGTGCAGTGCGATGGCGATTGTGCAGAGGGTCCCAAGTCTTTCACATGGAACTGGGATGGTCTAAGGAAACGGATGAGTGGTGTAAATGTTGCAGCCATGGCTGCGGTTGCTTGAACAGATCCACATGTTCAGGGGATCCTGTTGAGGCCATGTTGTGGAGAATGGTATGACGTTTTGTTCTTGGCTACTGCGAGGAACCAGCATACGCATCCTGGTTTGAAGACTGACCTCTCTGATTTGTGCACACATGAGGGCTAACAATGCGTCGAGCCGACACCAAGGCTCATAGCATCATTTGGACGCGCATGCCTGAGTTTTTTGGGGGGTGGGGCCCGCGGTTGGCACCGGTGTTTTCGTCACGTATGAGGCTGGCACCATGTGTTGCAATTGCAGCCGAATGCTGGGCCCTGAGAACCGCCAGAACTGATCTTGTTGAATGCCACGCATCTACAACCAAACACCTTCGTGTGAGGAAAGAGTCCCGACCTTTCGCGTTACTGAGCGGCGACCAAGAAACCCCCAGGACTGTGTTTCGGGCAAGATGTGAGATCAGCCACTGGCAGTATCTCTGATCAATTGCCGCGGCTTTCCACGTTGAAGATATAGTGGTTTGACGGGACCATGCCCGCTGATCCATGCCGAAGATTTGTCACCTGCTTCTTTGTTGAGATCTCTTCGGCCTTCAGAATATGTTCGGTTCTTGCCAGCAGGACAAAGCCGCCCGCAAAGTTGCGAGGTCGCAGGGAAGGCGTGCAGCTTGTGATCGGTTTGGAAACGGGGCAAAATGAAGACTCAGTCCTCCCACTGGGGTGCTGGCAGGTTGGACGTGGGAAGCTAGATTGTCAAGCGACCAGTGGAAGCTTGCCAAAAAGGGCACTCAGCACGCCGGGCAGCGGGATGGTGCATCGCCAAGTTTCATCACTGCGGCTTTTCTCCTTAGAAACTACATTGGCCACGGGCTAAATCAATGGAAAGAGAGAGAGAGAGAGAGAGAGAGACATCGTGGGATTCAAAGTCCAAGTGCTAGAGCTTTCCAGCAATCTGTGGCCTGGCCCTTTGGGCCCTGGTGCAGCTTCCATGCCAAAGAGGCAGGGTTTAGACATGGCAACAGCAGATTTGATGATCGAACCCATAAAACACCTGCCTATGAATCAATCAGATTGGGCGATTCTCGTTGCTGGAATCTTCCAGCGGTTTGCCCATTGAATTGGTGCAAGAGGAAAGAGGGCACATGTCCCTTCAGGACGTGAGAGCCATGCGTTTTGGCACCGAAGCAACGGCAAAGCATCCAAAGCATCCCTGTATTGTGCAGATCTTTGGCACGAAGCACACCTGGGTGCAGCTGGGCCTTTGGTAGGCCTGGGTTGCGGGGTTTGTGAGGCTGTCCACAAGCTTAGCATAGCACAAGGCATCTATGAAAAGGGTCAGGTGTGAGGTTGACTTCTGCGCAGGAGATGGGCACTTGCCGCCAGCATCTCAGAGCTGTGCAATGTGCTGAGTATTTGCCAGCTTTGGATGTTCTCTGGGGGATGTGCTGCATGTGCACATTGGCTCAGAATCCTGAACTTATTTTCCCCAAGCGTTTGTGCTCAGCCATGCTAGGATGCTGCGCCGTGCTCTTGGTGCCGCTACTGGCAGTATTGATAGGGAGCGGCTTGGTGATCGTCGACGTGAAGCCGCTGTTCGCATTTGCTGGCAAAGCATTGCCCAGCTTCGTTCCAAAAGATGCAAAAGCGGTGCCTAACTCAGAAGTTCGCAACTTCCTGCTTCAAGCTGGCTTGAAGGGAAAAGCTGCGGCAAGCCCTCAGTACGAGAAATTGCCCCTGAAGGGGGTTTTCATGTTTGATCAAATGGGCCCTGCTGGCTGGATTGACTTCTCATACGTTTCTTCATGGGATGCAGACAAGGGCGAAGCTGTCATCAACATGTGGGATCTCACGGCTCCCAGTGGTGTCCCTACACCCAAATACGGCGGCATCGGCCCCTACTTTCCAGGAGGCTATTTGCTTGCAGCAACCGAGTGGCTGCAATACCGAGTGCGCTTTTCGTGCCCGCCTCTGCAGGACGGGAAGTATTGCTTGCTGAAGGAGTCTGTCTTTGGGAAGCCTTTTGCAGACAAGGATGATCAAGGAGGGCCCATGCTGTGGCACATGACACAGTTCGACGGCGGTCGGAAGTTTGTCCGCGACACTTGGCTGGTTCCGCCCTGGGGGACGGCAGATACTTCAGCTAGCAAGTTTCACAGCTACAGCTTGCTAAAGCTGATGGACGCGAATGGAGCCATCGATGAGGAAAACTTCCAGCTGTTCATGGAGAAGCTGGATGGCCAGGATTTGCTCGTTCCTGCGGCCATGGCTCCGTGAAGGGAATTTGAAATGAAAGTGCACAGCCCATGCTGACCATGGGGCGTTCGGTTTCTGTGTGTTACACACGACACGCGCGCAGACAGAGGCAAGGACGCAAAAAGTTTGATGTCGATGTTCGTGTTCATACTACAGGCAGCGCACAACGACGTGCTTAAGGTCTAGCTGAAAGTCCATAAATGTAAGAAGCCAGAGCTGAATGGGAATTGATTCAGACAGACTGATTTGATCGCACAAATCGATGAGACTATGTGAAGAGCTATATTGCCACATTGGCTCGCACCCGCATCCGCAAGACATCGCTGCAGCCCACTTGCCCCCATTTTCTGCTCACTTCGCGGACAAAGCGGACAAAGTGGACCAAGTGGACCAAGTGGGCGCGGGTGGGCGCAACAAGTGGCCAAGTGGCGAGGCGCGTTCGCTGGGCCAATTGCTCTGGAGTCGGACGGTAGAAGTCAAACACAGAAGTGTCTATGGAATTATCCGAGTTTGATCAGAAAGGCAAGAAGTTTCGATCGAGATGCGCAGGCAACGAACATGAAGGCAAAATGGTTTAGTCTACAGCAGGAGTCTGATAATAGAAGAGGAACGTTTAAATGGAATAGAGGAGTTCCTTCACAGAAGAGGTAGAAGCAAAACTTGGGACCAGCCAGGATTTATTGGTTTGGTATGTTGATTTTTTGGCCGGCCCAGAAGTTTGTCGGTTCAAGGCTGACACCTACATGAGAGACTATTTTTCTCCCGATAGGGTTAACCTTTTGAAGATGGGCTTGACCTTGGTGCGCAGTCCAAGCGTAGAAAAGGCGCGCCCGTAGAAGGATGTCGCCTGATCACAGAAGAAGCATGCTCGCGGAACAGAGTAGCCCGATCAGACAGGAGGACGGAGTCGAAAGGAAAGAAAGGCAGATAGCTTTCTCATAGCGTGCAGGAGTCCATTTATAGAAGAGGCGCGTGCCCCGATCGTGGAAGGGCCATCCGTGAAAAAGCAGCTCGGACCAGCGGGACAACAGCCGTTCGCGATGAAGACCATACCTGAAACGGATAGTCTACGAGAAAATGATTGCCAACAACGGTTGGCTTATTCTGTGGCTAGCCCACAGCTGAAGCAAAATGAAAGGATTAAGTGTGACAAACCAGGGCGCAGCCTGGGCCTCTTCGTGTAGCTTTTCTTTGCGACCCGCGCTTTCCCCTTGAAAGATTAGACGCATTCACGTAACAGAAGACATACACCACTGTACGCTCGGTCCATTTTGTTGTCACTGGTTCCACTAAGTGGCCAAATGGCTGTGGCGAGTTGGCTGGCCACTTCCAGGCCCTCGATTTGTCAATCAAACAATGGCACTCCACTTGAGCGCACCCACTTGCGTCCATTTCCACTTCGGTTGCTCTAAAGGCAAGTGGAACAATCAACTGGGACTCCCGGTTTGCTGAAGTCGTCAAGTGGAGTGGCTGCCTGGAACCTGTCGAGTCAGGCTCTGGTTGTCTACCTGGCCTTTGGTGGTGACGATGGTTTTTGTGCTGCACCCAGTTGTGTCACCAGATTCGCAAGGGGGCTTTCTCGCATTGATGCCTCGACGCATCTTTGCACATAACCAGAGCATCTTTTCTGCTTGCTCTGAAAGGTGCCCTTCCAGCAAGCTTTGCAAGAAGGCAATGAAAGCATTGCCTTCATCCTGCTGTTTCGTTCATATGAAGTGTTTAAGGATTGTGCAATCTTGTGACCAACCACGTTTGAGGGGCCTGCTTCTTGCAGTCGGCATTGGCTCTGAGGCGGGCAACAGAGTAGGGTCTTGCCAGTCGCAAACGACGTCCCCGGCACAGGCCAAGGCGGCAGGGCTTGCAATGGACTACAGGAAGCTGGACCAGATCGACCCCTCAACCAGGACTGCCAGCTGGCGAAGGGTAGATTTGCCAATCAGCGGGGGGGAGGAAGCTGGTGGGTGATGTCGGCTCCGAGAAGGCCCAGAAGGCGCAGTGTGCACGGCCGGACCTGGCATTCCTCGTAGCATGCTTTTCCCTACGCAAGGCCATCGGAGTGATAACAGAGGCCAAGCAGAAGATGGAGGCCTTGCAGACGTACTCAGCTCAGTCGTTTTTGTTGTAAGCCACTACCACTTGCTTGTGTGCACTTATTCCCAGCAAGCGCATGCAAAAGTTAGTGGGCGTGGACTTGGCTGTGGCTTGTGAGGGCCTACGAGAAAGATGTTGGCGTGAACTTTCGACCATATCTGCTGCCGATGCTAGGCTTTTATAGCTGTCTTCTTGCGCTCATGCAGTTGTCCTTGTTATTGCGCAGCATGTATGCCAAGGATTCCAGTCATGAGGGAGGCATTGGACGTTGTCTATGGTTTGCTCGATGAGGCCGGATTCTTTTTTCTTTTCTTGAGCCGAACCAGTCTGAATCTTCTAAGATGTGAGGAGTCCAGGCGAGACGCAGAACGTGTGGGTAGGCTGCTGCTCTCGACCAGATACTTGCTCAACGAGGACTGACATGCGCGCACACACACACACACTCACACACACTCAGGCTCAAACACCAAGTCTACCAAGCTCGCCACTCATCCTGAAGCAAACAGAAAGAACATGTGCAACGCTGGGCTCATGCGCTATTTGGCGACTAACGTTCACAGAAGGCTGCCGTGCACTGTACGAGGCGCCCACTGTGAAGACCGAGCCGTCAGCAGTCTGAGACCCAGCGAGCCGTTCCTCAAGTGTGCCATGACACCTGGCGACCCGGGATCAAGAGGCGTAGACATCCACTTGACGCCTGCTACGGTCCTCAAAGAAAAGCTGTGATACCTCGCAAGACAGATTGACCCCAGCTATTCATTGTGATAAGATGCTGCGTGTGTGTGTGTGTGTGTGTGTGGGTGTGTGAACATTTCATTGCATGTGGAGGCAAGGCTGGAGATCGAATTATTTCGCAATGCGGTTGAAGAGCAGGCGCTCTGGCCGATGCATTGCATTCGCAACGTACCTCATCAAACTATTTGTTGTTGCACTGCTTCAGGCCAAATTTCGCAAAGAGATCAACGAACTCATTCGGATTATGGATAAATTCCTATTATTTCTATCGTAGAAAAAAATGAAACAATCTCATCAACAATTATCAAACATGTTTGACGACACCAAAACTTCATCTATTCCAATAACAACAAATATCAAGAAAAATAGGATCCCCTATGAACTATATATATATATATACAAACAAATACTGATTTATATAGATATTTTTGTTAATATACATATATATAACATATTATTGAAATATAATAATTATGAATATAATAATTATATATTGATATATTATTATAAATTTAAGATGATTTCATTTAATTAGATTATTTTAATTATTCGATATTTTTATTTCGAAAAGAATGTAGATTTGGAATTTGATTTGTGATTTTGAATTTAAGGAATATATTTTAATTTTTGAATATTGATTTGGAATATGCTTGTTTAATTGATATATTTTATATTATATTGATATTGCTTTATCATATTTTTTAATTATTTAATATTTTTTATTTTGAATTATATTAAATATATTTGTTTATGAATATTTAAAATAGATATTTAATAATTGGTTTGATTTTTTTGTTTTTATAATATATATTAACCATAATGGATTTTAATATATTTAATTTAATTTATATATTTTATGCTTATTATAAATTTAATATTTTGAATAAATATTTTATATATTATATTTAATTAAATTGAATATATTTAAAATACACATATAATTATATATAATTATAAAAATATAATATATATTTATATATACTACAAAATAATTTATATATTAACACACAATATTCTTTATATAATATATGTTAATTTATATCGATGAAAATATCGATAAAACCATTTCCAATTATTATAATCATATTTTCTCCTATACAAATATATATAATAATTTTACGTATATTTTTCAATCATACACTTTCCATCTCTTTTTGAAGATATTTTATTAAAACAACAAATATACAAAATTTACCTAACAATATATATATATATATATATTTGATAGAAAATCGATTTAACTATTCTTTTAACAAACAACATAATATATATTCTTTCAATTATTCCTATAGAATTTGGGAAAAAACAAAACAACAAATAATATTTAAATCGATCAATTTACTACACAATATCTCTTAAAATAAATCAAATTATTCATTTAATCATACCTATATAATTCTTAAAAATTAAATTTTAATAAATAACATCATTTTTTCTTGAATAATCTCTAAACAAATAATATCACTAACAACTTGAGAAGCAAGGAACGAAAATTAGCGTGTGGCAAGGTATTATATCCATAATTAAATCTAATTTTCCCCCCCAATATATGCGTTCCGCCCCACAGGACCTTGACCAGGACCTTGGCTCGGCTCAGGTTGGGAGCTGCCCATTGGATAGGCATGCAATGGACACAATTGTCCCTTGAATTGCGCAGCACCGTGGCTGGCTGGCTGTACTTTGGTTGAGGTTTAGGATTTAAGGGTTTAGGTTTAGGATTTAAGGGTTTAGGTTTAGGATTTAAGGGTTTAAGTTTAGGATTTAAGGGTTTAGGTTTAGGATTTAAGGGTTTAGGTTTAGGGTTTTAGGATTTTAGGGTTTAGGGTTTTTGGATTTTAGGGTTTAGGGTTTAGGTTTTGGGATTTTATGGTTTAGGTTTAGGATTTTAGGGTTTAAGTTTAGGGTTTAGGATTTAGGATTTTAGGATTTAGGGTTTAGGTTTTAGGTTTAAGGTTTTAGGGTTTAGGTTTTGGGTTTAGGGTTTAGGTTTAGGTTTATTGGTTTTTAGGGTTTAGATTTAGGGGTTTAGGATTTTAGGGTTCTATATTTTTGTCGCCAGAAAAATGTATATGGCTGGCTGCAAATAAAGACTAGCTTGTATATAAAAGGGGAAAAAAGGAAATTTCGCACATACGATTCTCGTAGAGGGTGCGTATTTCGGGGCTTAATCTTAGCTTGCGGCCCCACACACTTGGTCCGGATCTGTGAGCTTTAACCTCTTAAAACACTGGCCCTGCGCATATTTTTGACACATTTAGATGGGTTGTCGGGGAATGATGGGATAATACACATGTATTGACTATAATTTTTGTTTATATTATTTTATCGTATATAATTTTATTTAATATATCTAATCCTATAATATAGGACTCATTTTATTCAAATTCCAATGTTTTAAATTAACTTTTTGCAGCTATATAGCCCGAATCCGAATTAGCCTCTGAAAAGGATTATGAATCATTCTAAATCGCTAAGCACAATATAAAATCCCCCATAATCCATATAACCCATAATATACAATCTGTAAATTATTGATAATTAATATTATTTCCAATAAAACATGACCTAGGAATAAAGAAATACAGATACAAAATTCATATTTAATTTTTTATACAATACATAACAAGAAATAATTTTAATAATTTATTAAATATTAGGAGGTTGTTGAATTAATTATAATTCCTAGGATTGATCATAAATAAAATATACTAATTATTATCATTTTAATTATATTAAATATTTAATATATAAATTATGGAATTATTTTTATTTACAATTATAATAAGGAATTTATTGTTGTTTTTTAATCAATTTATTAATAATATATATTAATTATTAATTATCCTTAATTTTTAAGGAAATACTATAATATCTAAAAGAATAGGCAAGAATCTCACATATACACACTCTTACACACTCAGGCTCAAACACCAAGTCTACCAAGATCGCCACTCATCCTGAAATAAATAGAAAGAACATATATAACGCTGCGCTCATGCGCTATTTGGCGACTAACATTCACAAAAGGCTGCCATGCACTGTACGAGGCGTCCACTATGAAGACCGAGTCGTCAGCAGTCTGAGATCCAACGAGCCGTTCCTCAAGTATGCCATGACACCTGGCGATCCGGGATCAAGAGGCATAGACATCCACTTGACACCTGCTAGGGTCCTCAAAGAAAAACTGTGATACCTCGCAAGACAGATTGACCCCAATTATTCATTGTGATAAGATGATGTATGTGTGTGTGTGGGTATGTGAACATTTCATTGCATGTGGAGACAAGGCTGGAGATTGAATTATTTCGCAATGTGGTGGAAAAGCAAGCGTTCTGGTCGATGCATTGCATTCGCAACGTACTTCATCAAGCTATTTATTATTGCGCTACTTCAGGCCAAATTGTTGCAAAGAGATCAACGAACTCATTCGGATTATAAATATATTCCTATTATTTCTATCGTAGAAAAAAATGAAACAATCTCATCAACAATTATTAAATATGTTTGACGACACCAAACCTTTATTTATTCCAATAACAATAAATATCAAGAAAAATAGGATCCCCTATGAATTATATATATATATACAAACAAATACTGATTTATCTAGATATTTTTACTAATATATATATATATATATCGTATATTATTAAAATATAAAAATTATGAATTTTAAGAATCTAATATACATATATTAATACATTATTGTAGATTTGAGATGGTATAATTTAATTAGATTATTTTAATTATTTGATATTTTTATTTCGAAAAGGATTTAGATTTGGAATTCGATTTGTGATGTTGAATTTAAAGAATATATTGTAATTTTTGAATATTGATTTATAAAATAGGAATTTGGGTTATAGATGATTAGATTATGAATTACATATTTATATATATATATATATATATTTATACACATGACAACAATAATAAAATTGAGCAAATATTTGAGATATTGTATGAAAGGACTTGCAAATATAAAATTTCCGAATTAGATTTAATTTATAATATTTATATTAATTGTGTCAATTTAATTTCAAATAGATATTTCTATAGGAGGATAACCATTTTTCGGTTATTTTTTTGTATTTTCTCGATATAGAATAAATCAAAATACATATTAATACATTAATCTAAAAAGAACACCATATTTAAATATATATAAATAACTATTATATATTTAATATATATATATTTGTTTAATATATTTAATTATTGTTATATTTATATTATATTAATATTGATCAATCAAATTTTGTTCATCATTTAATATTTTTGATTTTAAATTATATTTAAATAAATTTATTTATAAATATTTAAATCAAACAAATTAATTTGATTTATCTTTTTAAATGTATTTTTTTTAAATAATAAATATATTCCATAATAGATTTTAATATCTTTAATTTATATTTTTTGATTATTTAATTTCAATATTCATTTATAATTAATTTATATATTCTATCTTATAGAATTTATTTAATTTATTGATAAATTGAAATTCATATATAAATTATCATTATATACATACTCTATAAATAATAATTAAGTAAATTAAATATATACAAAATATTATTAAACAAAAATCGAAATTACTTATATATAAATTAATTTAAATACCAATCCAATTTAAATAAATTATATAATTAAATAATTTGAAATTAAACAAAAGAACAATATACATTTAGAATAATATAGATATATAAATATATATATAAATATAAATATATAATTATTCAATTACATATAATTATACAATTACATATAATTATAAACAATAATATATATATATATATTACAAATAATATATATATAACAACAAACAATATTCTTTATATAATATAATTTCCATTTGTATCGATAAAAATATCCATAAAACCATTTCCAAATATCATAATAATCATCACCTCCCTCACATTTTTCAAACAAACACCTTCCAAATCTCTTTTTGAAGATACTCTATCAAAACAATAAATATATAAAAATCACCTAACAATATATATATATATATATTTCTCAGAAACTCAATTTAACCATTCTTTCAACAAACAACATAATTTATATTCTTTCAATTATCAATATAGAATTTAGAAGAAACATCAAGACAACCAATATATTAAGATCGATTAATTTACTACAAAATATCTCTTAAAATAAATCAAATTATTCATTCAATCATACCTATATAATTCTTAACAATTAAATCTTAATAAATAACATCATTTTTTCTTGAACAATCTCTAAACAAGTAATATCACTAAAAACTTGAGAAGCAAGGAACGAAAACTAGCGTGTGGCAAAATAACATATCCATAATTAAATCCAATTTTCATTCATATCATTTCATTGTATACCATTTTGTTTATGCAATACATCTAATCCTATAATATAGGATTCATTCTATTAAAATTCCAAGCCTTTAAATTAAGCTTTTGCAGCCTTTAGTCCAAAAATCCGAATTAGCCTCTGAAAAGGCTTATGAAATAATCTAAATCGCCAAGCACAATATAAAACCTCCTTTAATCTTTTTCAAAATACATAACGAGAAATAATTTTAATAATTCAATAAATATTAAGGGTATTTGAATCAAATAGAACCCCTAGGATTGAGATCCTTAATTTTTAAAGACTTCATATAATACCTAATCTAAAAAAATAACAATTTCAATATTTAAATAACTAAACAAACACATTTTATGCAACATATACTATTCAATCAACCTATTTCAATATTTTTTTTTAAAAAAATGATTGCTAAATAAATATATCAATGGTTAATTTATCGAATAAATTCAATAAACTATTCATCTTGAAATTTAACAATGCAAATATAATTTCCAATACCTAATTCAAATTATACCTTTATTAATTTCTTCTTTATATTAAATTCCATATCATTATACAATTTTATATTTCGGTATATATAAATATTATATATTATATATAATAAAATATCAATTATTCAAATTCCTTAAAATTTTATTTTTATACTTAACAACATCGTAAATTATCAAACCCAAATCAATTCAAACCATTCAATTCCCCACATATATAATATTAATCAAATATACAAAATATAATTCAACCATTTCAATATTCAAAACATATTATTTCAATATCCACAAAATGCAAATAAATTCAAACCCACAACACAACAAACACAACCATTTCTATTCACACAACATCACAAATATATATATATATATCCTCACAAAACACAAAATTTAACCGCTTAGACCAACATCCAAAAAAACATAATCTCATACCAACCTTCTACCCCAATCACAAAACCATTCCAATAATATTACATTACTGAAAAAAACAATCATAATCAATTCACACTTAACTCACTTATATCATTCCTCTATTCGTTCACTATGTATATAGAAAAATGAGGTTTTTATTCTTCATAATAACATATATTTGCGTATTTATATAAATATATATAAATTATAAATTAAACCAATAATGGCTAAATACATATATCAATTTCAATATATCTAATTGTATATATATAATCATCATACCATAATATAACATACCACATACATATAAATTCATACATACATACATACATACATACATACATACATACATACATACATACATACACACATACACACATACACACACATAGATAGATACATTACATACTTACATTACACTACATTACATTACATTACATTACATTACATTACATTACATACTTATATACATACATACCTATACATACGTATGTATATACATACACTGAATTTTTACTATTACAATACATGCATACATACATACATACATACATACATACATACATACATACATTACACACGTACATACATACACACACACACACATACACACACACATACATACATACATGCATGCATACATACATACATACATAACATTTCCCGTTGCATTACGCTACATTTCGTTATATTGCATATCTACATACATTTCTGCATACAACGCGAAGCATACGATATCATCGATTTCCAAATTACGCTTTTCTTTTCTTTACTAGATACTTACATATAAACCATAGCCATATTCTCTTAATATACACCCTAAAGCCAAGGTGGATGGATAGCTGGATGGATGGATAAATAGACGACTAAATGGATATATGCCCGTTAAGATTACATTTGTACAATATTCAACAATTAACTTATTACATACTAATATTCAGAAACTCACTCACTCACTGTCTCTCACTGTCTTTCATTACTCCTCGTCTGTCTCACTATCTCACCGTCTTACTCACTCAATAACACTAACTTCCTCAATGACACTGAATTGAGCACACGTATACGCTCGCCATCAATTGCATTCTTGTTTATCCAATTTTCCATAGAAACTACATACTCGATTCCCTCATTCCAAATATAACGCATGCTTTCAACACAACTAAAAAACCAACCTACAACCAACAATTAACACCATTTGGCAAAGACAAATTTCACCTTAAGACAAAGTCATCACTTATTTCTAAACAAGTTCCTTTCATATACATCACTATCCTTATATTCAATACCAAGCACATTTCAATAATACTTCTAAACCTCAGCCGATTTTTTTCACAATATATCCGGGCAACATATAACAACAACAAATAAGCAACCAACCAAGCCCAAACAACAATATAAACAAACGGCAACGCATATGTCCGGGCAATGTAAGTACGGCAACGTGTAGCAAAACAATCCAACCCGAATAAAGCGAGAATCACAATCCCTATCATTTTTCAAAATCGGCAACAATATATCCATAGACCTCCGTCTACACCTCCTCAAATCTCATATATTAATAAAGCAGTATCTATAAATATACATATATAAATATACATCATCATCACACCTACTTTTATGACTCCTCAACTTTATCTCTCGCGTCCCCTTCCCATCCCAACACAACCTCAACCTCTTGGAAACCAAATCTTAAGTCACAATTTCTTGATTAATACATGTATCCTCCAATATGTATATATGCATATATAGAAATAATATAAATCACACATATCGAAGTCGCAAATCGAACTAGATAGAATAACATGCAACCAGAAAAAGTATATAGTGGGTGGTGGAAGATCAGTCCAACCGAACAGCATGTGAAACATGACAAGTCTAAACAACCAATGCATGCGTCCAGTACCTATCAGGTACTAAGAGCAAATCAATCTAACTCAATTAGGCAGAATCAATCTCCATATCATTTTGCAACATGTGTACCATATATCCAGGGACCCCTTAACAGAGAAACCAAAACGTCCAGGACCCCTTTTGTGCCCGCTATCTTGTCACTCGCTCCTTCTCAAACAAACATCAAGCAAAGCCTCTTCGAGGCCTGCCTTCGAGACAAAACCACACACGTAACACACACACACACACTTCTATTTCATAAAGTCCAACATTCCAAATGCCCTTTGCAACCGCTCCCAGTGAATATAAGTACGCTCTACGTACCCAAACATATTTCTTTGAGCATTACATATTCCCAAATGAGTCACGATCAAAACCTGGTATCCAAATGGTCCACCCAAACCCATGTAAAGAATTAAGAAGGCGGCATCACACATTTATGGTTGTGACTGTCCCTTGCCTGCATCTACCCGGGCTTTGATTGTGGCTCAGATGATGAACAAAACACTTGACGTATAATACGCTGCTATTGTTTTGTAGATTGAAGGTGCTTGGCAACCCTGCAAAAAAAGACCACACACATTAAACATATCATAGATTTTCGGGTTTGCCTCGGCCGTTTTGTTTGGAAAAAATCCAAATGCTTTTTCGAAAGGCCTTGAGGGGAGCCAATGCCTGCGGCTTCGGCTTTCAAGCCCTTTAGGTGCTTGTAAGGAAGTTTAATAAGATGCTCATTTGTCCTTCTTCTGTTTTACTTCTTTGTCTATATGTGGTCGGTAGCGGGCTTTGTTTGGTGGTAGGGGGCTTTGCTTGGTTGTTAGTAGGTTTTGCTAGGTGGTTGGTAATAGATAAGTTTGGGAAAACGAATTAACAAATCGATAAGGTTGCATACTTTGTTTATTTATGTATCCACGAACACCAGCTTCTTTGGCATGGAAGTAGTACTCTTCATGCCTTGGCATTTGACTGAAGTAAACTACCATTCAGTTTTTCTGGAACTGTGCGGATTGTTGTGTTCTCCGCATGCAGCAGGCATGTTGCCATGTGTTGCCATCTTAGTGCATTTCTACCAGGACCTCCCGGTCAGTTTCAAGCCGTCCCGTCAGCTTGTACAGCCTCTGGCAAAAGAGCAAGCCTGGCGTGACCAGCAGTGCTGCCACCAAATAAACCATTCCGAAGTACTGCCCGGGCTGGTCAAATCTAGGAATGATCACCTGAGTCAGCATTTATCGGCTCTTTCAGCCGATTGACCCCACCAGAAACAAGCTTGACCGTCTGAATGCCCCAAGCCTCAAAACCTTAGCTTCAGGCAAAGCGCGTCCGACGCCACAAGCGGCGCAAAGATCTTTGAGAGAGTCTCCAAGATCGACACCGCACCCTGCAGGCTTCCTTGCTCTTCTGGTGATAGCTCCCGAGTGGCCAGTCCCACAGCCATTGGATATGCAATGGAGCCGACGCTGAAGAGGATAATGACTACGAAGGCTAGGCCGGATGTGCTCGGGGTCAGAAAGCTGAAGAGCAAATAGAAGAGGCCCATCGACGCGAATGCGACTTGCAAAGTTGCAATTTCGCTGAACTTTCTGGTGAGGAAGGGCTGCAGGAATCCCAAGCAGAGTGCAGATTCTAATGCCCAAAGCGTGCCCAGTGCAATGAATGACGGCTTGCTCATTTTCAGAAAATTCGAGCAGTAGAAGTCCAACGTGCTGGTGAACATGTTCAACGCAAAGCAGCTCAAAAAGATGAGTGTGGCGTACACAACCTCAGCTGATCTGCATGGCTACCAACAGGGTGTCTAGTCATTTTGCGCATTGGGCATGGTGCTCAATCAGGAGGCTTAGCAGGGTTTTAGGCCTAGAGCAGATGGCTTTGTCACTTTCCAAGGAGGAAATCCGCAAAGCGATGCGCGCTTCCCTCAAAGCCTGAGAATCTGGCACCCCGGCTTTTTGCCTGAAACCCTGAACCTTTGAGGCCTGCACCATCGCCTCGTTTGTGAGGAGTATGTGCAAGCCAGCTATAGGATTTGCCTCTGCCCAGGCAAAGTTCCTTCTTGGCGCCACATCTCGCCACTTGACTATGACCTGAGATCATGTGCCGACAAATGCAAGCAAAGACTGGCATGCATTGGTTGCCTGGACTGGGCCAAGGCTCCAGTATTATGATGGCAGCGTTCAGGGTAGTTGCCACGTAAAAGCTGGCACGAAATGACAGCTGCACGGAGGACACCGCTGCCACAACAAAGCTGCCTTGGGCGAATGGGCATGGAACCGTCACCCCGTCAGATGCAACCGAATTAATCTCAGTTCAGCAGCCCATACCCATTCCTACCACCATGGCAGCGCCAAGGTAAGCCATGCGTTGAGGGCATTCCTCTGCTCCAGAAATGTCAGCAGTATAGGACTGCAGGGACACCTTGTAGTTTCCACACAGCCCAGCCACCCCGCGCGAGGCAAAAAGAATCACCTTTGCCGACGTGGGGTGCACTTGCCCAAGGAAGCCCAAGCTTGGCAAGCAAAGGCCAGCTGTAAGGTAGTCGACTACCTGGGTCCAAATCTCAGGCTGCAATTCAAGGCACGAAGCAGCTGAACGAATGCAACTAAATCTGCCAAGCCTCTTGCCCAAGTTGGGCAGAAACCTGAGCAGGCCGCCTTCCGAACTTGTCGCTCACGACTCCCACGAGCTGACTTGTCACGAGCTCGCATATTCCGTTCATTGCAAGCAAACGCCCATAGTAGGTTTGGGCCATGGAGGATTCCTCACTGGGATTTGTCACGGCCCTGCAGACTTCCAGCCAGGTCAGCATGGCAGCACCCAAGCCTGTGGACTCAGGACTCAAGTGAGGTCTGCTTCTGTCAAGAAACTAAGGTGCGGACTGACGCTGTGCAGAAAGCTAGTAAGAATGGCCGGCCATACTGGAGGTGCATGCTGCGGCCGATCGATTCGCAGTGAGTCTCCAGTCGAGATCCGCTGTCTGGACCTGAGCCGAGGTGGCAGGAACATGGGCAGGGATTACCCAAGAATAATTCAGCAAACACATTGACTTTGATCAGTGCAATCTCAGCCTCGCACAGCAGGAGTCCGCTTCCAGTTTCAGTCGCCCTCGCCGAGTCACGTGAAGCCATGGCGACAAACTACATGACGGGTTCCTTGGGCCTTGCGGCGCAGTTCAAACAAAGTAACATGGATGCTCGGAAGCAGCAGCGCAGCACTGAACTACGCTCAACCAAGTCCTCACCACACAGAAGCGGCCCACCTTTCACTCCCAAGCGGCCCAGTTGCCCCACTTTAGAGCATTGCTGGGTGCAACTTGGCTGCGCCTATCCCTACTCAAAAGAACCGCGCTGCCACACTCACACCAAGAACGGGCGTCCATGGTTCATCGCCTGCAACACGCCAGCCGTCGAACATACCAACAGTTGCCCACTTACAAAGCTCCCTGGGCGCCTCTTCCAATCGCCGAGTAGGCCTGTTTCTGTCCTGCCGCATTTGCGTGGTTGGATGTGGTTGGCCTACAGCCAAACATCTCGGTCCGCCTGGCCAACAGGAGTTGAGAGCCTCCGGCCGATGGTGGCGGCGAGCAGTCCTGGCCACGCGCAGCTTGTGCATAGCTGTGAGACCGCTCCAGCTGGGTCTCTCTTTTTGAGGGAGCTCTCCTTTTGGTCGGTTTGAAAGGGAAACCAACATGAAAATCACCACTTCAGTGGCCCCTTCAGAAACAAGACCCCTCCGGCTCTCCCAAAACTCGCCTTGTTCTGAAGGGCTGTGCTGTCGCGATGCCGAGTTCGGCTCTGAGGCTGGTGTGGTCGGTCGTCTGTCTGACAGGATGACAGGATGACAGGATGGCTGGGTGCAAATGCCCCCCCCCCCAATAGCTGCTACAATGATCCCCGTAATAGCTAGTCCAACTTTATCATTTCTCTTCTTCGTCCTTTCTCATTCCGCTGAGGCACAAGCGCCTCCCAAAGGACATGCCAGCATACCGGCTCTTGTCTGAAAGTCTTGGTCTCGGGAACTGGTACTCCAGAAAATGTTTTGCGAGTTCTATCAGAGCTTTTGCCAGGCTACTTTTGCAAAATCACACGACAGCCATTTACACGAATAAGAAGGCCAGCTGCTCGATACGCAAAAGCTCTGACAATCGCAGCGGTGCAGCGCAAGTGAATGCAAAGTGCAGCAACGGAACACTATTTGTTTTCAGTGCAAAATGCAAATGGTACAAGCGTGGCACTTCAGCAACTCCAGCTGGAACAGCACAACTTCTCAGTACAAGCGTAGCACGTGGCTCCACGGAAGATGATTTTTTTGCCAAACATGTGGCGCAATGTCTGACTCGCTTCTATATTCGCAGTCGCTTTTTATCTATATATGCTTTTGTTTCAGAACCCTGTTCCCGAAAAAACAGGGAAACATAACAAATCAAAGCATTCACCTTAGAATCTTAAAGGGTGTTTTTCTTCTGCGAAAGGCCTCACCAAGATTTAGGAATTCCTGTTTTGTTGACCAAACTGTTGGTTGTCATATAACCCCCATATTAAAAAAACACCCAGGCCAAACAGATCCAAACAGTCACGCAAAGGAGTTCCCCCACAAGGGCCCCTGATCCGCTTTAATCTGACTGTTTTGAGGTCTGCTGTAATGTCAAGTCTTTTTGGGGCGGGTGTGAAATTCCAAGATCCAAGCCTTTGCATTTTACTCTCAAAGGGTCGTTTGTCTGAGCCCTGTGACCTCCAAGCCATCGTTTTTTCTTACAAATTGCAGAAGCGTAAACCACTTTTACACACACACACACACACAGCCTAGGCCAAACAGTCACGCAAAATGGGTACCCCACAAGAGCCTGATCCGTTTTAATCTGACTGCTTTTGATTCCGCTTTAACATCAAGCTTTTTTTTTGTGCGGGAGTGAAATTCCAAGATCAACGCCCTAGCCTTTAAAAAGGGCGGTTCTATCTGAGATCTGGGAATCTGAGAGTAAGTCGTGGCAATACTACATTTATACTGGGAAATGCTCAATTCAGCACTGGGGATCTGAGTCTTGACACGTAAGTCTTGGTGATACCAAATTTAAAATCGGCAATTCTAAGCTAAGCATTGGCAAGTCGAAGCAACCCAGCCCCCCTTTTTCCACTAAAGAGAACCCGGATGACTGTTGGAACTGTTCATGGAGGGGGGGCGGAGGGTCAATTTGAAGCAGACCCAACATTGCAGGTCTGAATGCTGTGACTCAAAAGCAACAAGCTGACAATATGGGAGCCAAGCATCACACATTCCGGCAAAGCCTGGATCTGTTAAACGCCCTGGGGCCCTGCATGCACGACCAGTTTGCAAAGCGGCGACCAAAGCGCCCTTCCGCCAAACTTCCGCCAAACTTCCGCCAAACAAGCCATGTTTCTCGAGGTCCATCGCCCAACTTGCGTGGAGGCTACTACAGAAGCTTAAATGCCGTCCTTCGTAGAACACCTCAATATACAGATCTTTCGGATGACTCCTTTCTCTCGGCAAGGGAAGCCTACGCTTCGTGAAGTCCCCAAACCCCTTTTTTGCCCCGGCCTCCAGTGTGAAAAATACCTTGAGCATCTGAAAGGCGGCGGCTGTAGTGCAAACAGGACGATGGCCTGAGTCACTTGACACAGCATGGAGCTGGTGAGAATATGCTCTGCCCCACCACGCCATCGCAACTGGGCCTGCTTTCGCCGCCAGCTTCCTCCCAGTCATGTGTGCCTCTCAGCCTTGGCCACAACATCAAAGACCGATGCATCGCACCGACATGCGCGTTGTGCTCCCCGGCGCGTCATCGTCGCTGACCTTTTCAAAGGGCGTGACTGGGCTACACCCGCTTCCCAGCTTTGATAACAGTGCACCCCTCCACGCATAGCGGGCCATCTCAACTTACATTTTCCTCGACTCGCACGCCAGAAATGCCTCTGACATTTGATTTTGTCGCTTTCTTTGCTGGTGTGCGGCAGTGTGCAGTATAAGTTGGGGGGGATCTGAGTCAAAATAACGGCTCAGGGGGCTCAGCGCAATCCAAGCTCATGTTCAGTTTCCTTCTTTCTTCCCAACTTCCAAACGCTGCTCCCGAAGCCAAATGTGAAAATCAAAACAATTGTCCTTGACGTGCGCTACGCCCCAAGTAAAAGCCACGCACCATCCCAGCGACATGCTCAAAGCTCTGCATCGGTCCCACCTCTGCTTCAGTCTCAAGGTGCCGCATTGGAGGCGGCCGTTTCTTCACCTGCCAGTCTCTGATGTCCGATGCGTGCGATGCGTGCGATGCGTGCGGGACCGCGGGACCCGCCTTGCGCGGCCAGCCTTCGCCTTGGCTGCTCCCTCAGACGATGCACACGCGCCTTCCCCCAGGCCGAACTGGGTGCCAGGCTTGACATCGTGCTCGTGGATTCCGAGCATACCTGAGATACCTGCCCGCTTTCCCAGCTGAAAGCTTTGGGGCTCCGGGGTCCGGGCCGGCCCTGAGGTAAGGTTCCACGAGGGTTCCACCAGGGTTCCACGAGGGTTCCACGAGGTGGTGCGAGCACTAAAAAGAGCACCGCATGCTGTTGAGCTTATTTTGTGCTAGCATTGCCAAACAAATACTCAGTCAAGTGAACACAAATCAGCACCACTTTCCCAGCCTGAAGCTCAGGCTGTGCGCTCTCTGGGCCATCGCTTTCCCTGTCAGCGCAGTCCTTCTCCCAAGCCTTGGCACAGGAATCAGCACGTGCTTGCAACGGACAGCAAGGAGAACTTGGGTCTGTGCACCGCCCACTGGACGTGGAAAGCCACACCAGCCTGGCTCAAGAAAGCTGGCAGCTTTGAATGTCGCCTGCCTGTCAACCTTTGCGTGGAATGCAGCCTTGAAATGCGAAATCATTGGACAAACACATGCTGCCGCGCCAATCTCCATATCCAACGTGCCCAGGTAAGGCTCCCACACCTGTCCGTGCCGTGAATGTGCAAACGGTATATCGCACCGCCAGGGCTCCCACCGTCAAACGGGAATCATCCTGGAAGCAGGTCATGGTCAGCCCCAGCCGAGCTCTCTCTGTCTCTCTGTCTCTCTGTCTGTCTGTCTGTCTGTCTGTCTGTCTGTCTGTCTGTCTGTCTGTCTGTCTGTCTGTCTGTCTGTCTGTCTGTCTCTCTCTCTCTCTCTGTCTCTCTCTCTCTGCCTCTCTCTTTCTCTCTCTCTCTCGCTCTCTCTCTCTCTCTCTCTCTCTCTCTCTCTCTCTCTCTATTCCGGCATCCTTAACCGGCACAGGTGCAATGATGGCACGCGTCCAGGCCTGGTGAGCAAGATTGTTCCACCCACACAAGGCTTGCAAGAAACGTGGACTGGGAGCCCAGCACTTTCAGGCTGCTCATCCTGGAAAATTACGTGCAGCTCGATATGCAGAAATTGCAGGACGACTCACACTGCCTCCCCCCAGCTTGCTAATTACTTGGGTTGGCCACAGGCAGCATGTCAACAAGCCGTCCATCAAGCAAAACGGGTCGAAGGCGGGCTCTGACTGCACAGCCTGCGGAATAGAACGAAGATTTGATGTGGCTGATGGAATGTGACATGAGTCGTGTCCCAGGCACCATGGCTTTTTTGCGATCATTCGACTGTCAATTTGTTTCTCACCCTTTCACATGTGCAAACCATCTTTGACCGACACCCTTCCTCCATGGAACTGTGAGCCGGGTGCGCGCCTCGCCCTCTTGTCGCCAGCGGATGGGCCCAGCACCAGCTTCCTCGCATGGGGCCACTGGAGTCAGCGTGGACGTGTTTCTGTGGGCGAACGCGAGCGCTGTCTCCTCCGGTCTCTCCCATATCACTGGAAAAGCCTCCACGGGCACGGAATATAGAACAGAAAACCTGAGCGACTCTGGCATGCGTGGCTGTTGACTAAGCTCTTGCTGAGATGCACGTGCTGAGTCTCAGCTGGGCACATGTTGGCCCACTGGGCTCTTCGGAGCCCCTTCAGGGCTCGAAGCGTCAAATTGATTGCGTGCCAGCACCTTGCTCCACGCGGAACCACTAGCCCCTGGGCTCTCACAACCAGTTTCCAGCCAGAAGCATTTGAACTTGAACTGTTCAAAGCATATGCGAGGACTGGTTGAGTCCCTAGCAGGCCCTATTGAGAGGGATGACAAAACCCTAGAGTCCCCCAGGATGCACCGACTGGCTGAGGCAGCCGCACACCAGTGCCTAGAACAACCACCCGCAGAACGACTGGCCTGGCGCCATACCCATACACACGGCCTTCTACGTGGGGCTTGACGCAGGCAAGTTTCTTGCAAATGGCACCGCAAATCTGCGCAAAGCTTGCTTTGCCCCCCCACTCTTTGCACACACTTCTTTTGCACCAGCTAACATCGTATAAGCAGGCATGTCCAGGCCTGCTGAGTGGAAACTCGCATAGGCAAAGGCAGTTGACCGACGACTCTGAAATGCCCCAGAGAACTGCATACCTCACTGGTGCACTGCTTTTCCCTCGCTGTCCCTGTAAGCATGTCAGTGGTAGCATGCAACGCAGAAAGGTATGGTTGTCATGTGGCTGAGCCGGTCGCGGTTGGTTGTCCAGCAGGGATGTTGTGAGTATGAACACTACTGACCACAAAGCACAAAGGATCGATGATAAAAATACCTCAGCGTGCATTTGAATGCTTGATGTGCAATGCACTTCGCATTTCTGTGCCGGGCATCGCAACAACATCTTATCAATATTAAAACACAACTTCATTGGCTCTCAGAAGTCTTCAGCACCAAACTCACGCACAATAAAATCCTTCATTTTTGCGGTTTTGGGCGAACACGAAGTAGCCCAGGGAATCAAAGAGGTACACGTGGTTCACGAAGTACCAAAAGAACCCAGTCCCAAAGCACAATGTAGAGGGTGCCGGTGACCAGATTGTGGGAGTGACAGTTAATGAAGATCAAGTTTGGGGAGGTTAGGAAACTGGTAGAAGAAGGTAAAGACAAGGGTCGGGCCCGGGAGCACCTCGGCGACCTGCCGCCCACCTCCTAGTGCCGAACAGCTGGAACACCACGGGCCTTTTCCGCGATGGCGCAGCCAATCGCCGCACTATGGCGAACGCACGCAAATCCAAGGAAGTCCCGACGGGGGATCCAAATCTTGAGCCAAACGGCCATTCGGCCGTTTTGCCACATGATGAAACAACACGTGAACAAAACACACCCCCCTCATCCGATATCTGGACGAGAGAAAGGATGCGAGACAGTTGAGTTCACGACGAAAGGGACCAACCAAAAATGCCGGTGTCAACTCAGAGGTGAGCCAAACGGCATCACCTGGGCCCCAGTTAAAATCCCGCCACCACCCCGAATTATCGGGGCGACAGGATTATTTGACGAGTGGACCACATGAGTGAACAAAGACATATTGGAGGAACCAGACGAAGATTCCTCTCGTGCCGTTCATGCGTTGTCATGGGACGACGCCATGCGGAGGGGGACCCTATCTGGATCACCGCGCCTCACTGCACGCCGTGGAGTGGTTGGAAGAGTAGTCGAGTTGGGAGGAAATTAGAAACGGAAGTTCCGAAATTGGTGTGGAAATATCCGGCTACGGCCGGCCCGGCACTTCTAGTGCGGTCACAGCCTCACACAGGATCGCCAGGGGAACCGTCTCCGGCGCGCACGGCAGCGGTGCGGGAGGGACACGAGCAACGCCGGATCAGCGGTACAGGGCAATGGAGACCATCACCCCCAGCAGCGCCGCACGGGCGAGAGGAGGACCGGCGCGGTCGCGTTTGTCGGCGACACACGTACTATCCTCGCCCTTCTAAGGCGGATGCTGATTGCGGTACCCGCCTACCACCCTGAACCAGGTTCTTCCCGGTCCCTGGGCACATCGTCTCTCCGGCGTCCACCACGGTCACCTCGATCACCTCCTCCATCCCGACGGCGATCCTCACCACCACCCCTATTGTGGTCACCAGCCGGAGGTCGGCGAGGCGGAGGGGGATCTGATTGGTGACGTCGGTCATCCCTGCCGGTCCCGGTGGCGATCGCGACGGTCATCACCCGGGTCATCACGTCCGCGGCGCTCATCCCGCCCCGGGCCGCGCCTCTCGGAGGTCTCCTCATGACGTGGAGGAGGTCGGCGATCATCGCGTCGGCCTCCGCGAGTATCCCTGCCACGATCATCCCTTTGTCGGGGCGGGCCAGGATCCTCGCGCCCACCTTTGCCAGGTCGATGTTTTCCTCGACCCTTCCCCTCACCCTTAGGACCGCGACGATCCTCGCGGGCCCCAAGCGCGGTCCTCGACCGATCGTCATCTCGGCGGGGCCGCGACTCATTTGCCGCACGAGTGGTCCGAGGCACACCCGGGGGAAGCTCCCACTCGTCGTTGTCGTCATCACGCGGGTCATAGCCGCGATGGCCGCCCAAGGAACCGGTGGCATCCCGTGGTGGGGACGCAGGAGTTCCGGGACCGCCCGATCGAAGACGAACTCGGGGAGTCGCGTCCTCGCCGGTAAAAGGATCCTTCTGGGTGTAGAAACCCTTAGTCCTGCCCCTTCTCTCCCCACCTTCCACACCGCTTCTCGCGGGGACCGGGGATGGACGGGCAGGCTGGGCCATGCTCTTAGAGCTGGGTTGCCCGCTAGGCGGGACCTGAACGCCCCCCTGCCCTTTTTCGGGCGCGGGGACCCGACCACGAGATGTCCTCCTGGCCTTGGGTTGGTCGGACTCACCCTCCAGCTCGGACTCGGTGTCAGGGACACGAGTATTGATGGCCATGTCCTCTTCCTCAAACGGATCCCCAGTCGTAGTAACGCCTGCCGCAATGGGAGCGGGAGGAGGAGGAGGAGGAGTTGGCACAGCATCGCCAGAACTGACGCCTGCATGCGACACCACGGGAGTCTCCGGTTCTACCGGGGCAGGCGGCGCAGGAGGAGCCGGGGGCGGTGGCGGAGGGGGAGGGATCTCCTCCTCGTCGTCGCCCATGGGCTCGTCAAGGTCGTCAGGCTTCTCGTCATCTTCGTGCGAAGAACCATCCATCCCAGCTCATCCTCCGCTGATCCAGCAAAGTCGGGCTCGTCTTCGTCCTTCACGCCGGGGCCTGGTGTAAGGCGAATTCCGGGTCGATGGCGATCGCGGGGTCGGAAGCGGTATTTCCTTGGTACAGGGTCGGACAGCTCCTGTTTGATGTCATCCTGGGTTTGAGGACGGTCGGCCAAGCAGGTGTCGTAGGCAACGGTGGACGTCCGGTAGATCAGATCGTCCATACTGCTGAGGTCGTTGAGGGTGTAGACGTACCCCTTCTTAATGCCTTCCCGTATCGTGTCCATAGCCCGTTTGAGGCGCGCGGCAGGATCGAACCCGGCCTTTCTCCGCATGGCCTGCAATATCCCGCAGTGCTGTGCGAGCAGCCCCACCTGGAACTTGAACCCCTCCCCGGACACATCGTTGGGGAGTATCGGAGAAAGGTGTCCTGTTCTCAGCCCAATGATATGGGCCTCAAGAATGTAGTAGGACGTGTAAAAGCCGCACCGGTTGGCGTTGAAGTTTGCGGTGGTTAGGCGTCTGCCCCACTCAGCCGCATATCCCTCATATTCTTCGAAGAATTCGGGGACGGAGCTCCCGTTGAAGGCAAGACCCCTTACCAAGATCGCCTTTGCTACCCACTCTTCCACGTTGTGGTCGACCGTGTCACGGTATTTGCCGTCAAGGACTTCGTCTCGGAGCGAGTCGTGAAGTTTTCGGAAAATGCCATCCACGTCCTCTTTGTCAAGGTACTTAGGAGGCCGCATCCCAGACATCAACAAGGACCGGGCATCGACGGCGGGACTCTGCGAGTAGAGGGCCATTCCGATGGCGTTGGCGTCTGCGTTGTTCCACAGAGCGGGGACGAAGCCCTCGTATTTTGCCAGCCAGGGAGGAATCACCCCGTCGGTGCTCGCTATCGTGCGAGGGCCGCCGTTCGTGTCTCCGGTGGGCAGGACGCCCTCATAGAAGATGGGAAGGTAGCAGGCGGTGCACAGGTGAGCGCCGACCGGATGGGCCGTCATGCACCTATGGCATGGAACGGACACCACCTCGCGGACATGTTCCGTCTTGGTGATCTGATGATACTTCTCCATCTCGTCCCGACACTTCCTCGGGTTATCACTCACGGAGTTGAGGAAGTTGGGCGGATAGCACCAAGGCCTCAGGTAAATGATGGAGCAGTCCTCCTTGAAGTAGACGCATCTCCAGTACCCGATGCAAAGGTACCCTGACGAGTAATATGCATGCCCCCATTTTCCATGGAGAAGAAACGTGCATCGATAGCCATGACCACATATCGGGGATCGCTCCTTTGGCGTCGACCCGAGGTGTGCACCGTCACATTGCTGTCGGTGATGCGGTCGACAGTGTCGTTGGGGCACTCTCCGTGATCGCGGAGGGATTGATATTCATCCGGCCGAGAGGGAAGGAGCTCGATCAGAGCTCGCCCACCCCGAATGATCGCCCCACGTTCTACGTAGAGCCGATACATTCGGAGAGGCACCACCTTGTAGAGCGTCTTGGGAACCACCTTGGAGGTGATAGGAAGACAAACAGGGCTCTCGTAGAGCATGTATTGGTATCGTTCACGAAATGCCCGGTAATCAGTGTCGGATCCGATCTCAAGCGACCTTACCGCCGCTATGCGGGCGGAACCAGGCAGCAACCGACGCTCCTTGTCACGAATGACGGTGATGATGATCTCGAACATTCCCACCCCATCTTCGAGAAAGGAAGACAGGAGGTACGAAGAAAAAGCATCCTCAGACTCGACGCTGGTCCCGAAGTAGTGGCTCAGGAACTTCTTCAGTTGTATCACCGAAGTAACGTTCCCTTGCCCGCTGGCAGACGAGGCCTCCAACTCTGGGTCCTTGACTGCACCTGCATTTCCAGGCTGCACAGCTGTTCCACGGAGCGCGTCGCGTATTTCCGCGCATGCTCTCCTGTAGTAGTGCGAAGAGGCGCCCGTCCTACCCTTCACCTTCTGACGGATCTCGTCGGCGAAGTAGTCCAGAAGCTCCTCGGGTGCGGGAACAATGGCCTGGATCATCAGGTCAGGATCACTCTTGGTCGGGAGGATAGGCCCTGCCCTGGATCTCACTCCCATCTCCAGGAATCGGGCAATGTCCCCGATTTTGGCGCACAGAGTAGTGATCGTGTTTCCGATCCTGGGGGCGATATCTTCGCCTCTCCTGGCGCCGAGGATGACCACGTTTTTCTTGATGGACTCCTCCTTCAGCCTCTCGAGGTTCCTCCGGAGAACCGCAGGCTCCGGTTTGTCCGGTCGCACGAGCTGGCCGTCGGGAATCTGGTCGAAAATGCGCGAGGCGGACTTCACTGCTGGGACATTCCTGTACTGATCCGGCACGCTGTAAAAGGCGTAGGCGAGAGTGTCATGCGAGGATGTCTCCCAGTACGTGTACTCCTCGGAATCACGCGGGTCACCGACGACGCGACTCACGGTCCTCAGCTCGGCCAGAGCACGCTCCGCCTCGAACTGTGATCCGATGGTCGTGGGCAGCATGGCCCTCTCCTCCTCCGTGCAGTCGACGTATATGAACTGACCGGTATGCAGATCTCTGGGCGCGGCGAAGGGCCCCGCAGTGTCATGAACGCCCAGCAGAGTGCTCCTC